GAATCTCTCTCCTTCCCCACAGGAAGACGAAAAAATCGAGGCAAAATAACAGAAAAAAAAGGACGTTCAAACAGGGGGAAGAGGAGCAGAATAAAGTGTGCTCCAGATTCATTGTACTAAGAAGGAGGCCAGTACATTTATACACGCGTGCGCGTTCCAGTCAGAAAGAGGAGTAAGACATATACACGCATACACACATATATATATATATTCATATATATGCGTGGCGGCTCCCCAAATCACTCCATGCCGAACTCTGCGCGTCCGGTGTCTGTGCCTAGGGCTGCCGATCGCGAGTTCCGGCGCATGCAATCCTCGCGCTCCATCACGACGCCTCGGCGATCCGGTATCGAGATGGCGCAGAACCAGGGCAACGCCATGAAGGTGTATGTGCGTGTGCGACCATTTAGCGAGCGGGAGCTTTCGCTAAGCATGCCGCATCACAGCACAGTGCGCATCGACGTGGAAAACCCGTGCTTGATTACACTACTGGACCCACAGAAGGATTTCCGCCCCCGTGAGACATTCAGTTTTACACGCTGCCTATGGTCTGTGCTGGAGAGTGACGGCAGCGCCGGCAGCAGCAAAACGGCTGGAGAAATCCGCGATTCCATTGGCACGTTCATCAACAACGTCAGCTCCGCTCGCGGTGTGCGTCCTCGTACTACGTCAAATACTGGACCCGCCAACTCCGGTGTCCTATCTGCTCGCGGGAGGGCTGGAGCAGAGAATTCTATGTCATTTGAGGGTGCTGGATCCAGTGCGGCAATTGTCGCGGGCAATATTGTTGCTCACCCAAAATACAGCTCACAGAAGGATGTCTACGACGAAGTGGGTCTCCCTGTCCTGACGAACACGCTGGAGGGCTATAACGGCTGTGTCTTCGCCTACGGGCAGACTGGAAGCGGCAAGACATTCACAATGCTGGGTTATGCTCCGAGGAATGCCGATTTTCATTCCCCTGGCAGACGTCAGTCCGTTGCAAACTTTGATGACGACGATGATGAAGAGTGTGAGAACTCCAAACGGTCTCTCACCTCAGTTTCACCTGGCCGCTTCCGCCGCGCATCGGTGATGAGCAATCACAGCAACCGACCAGACACCTTCGGTCGTCAAGGAAGCTCGCAGGTAATGCCAACAGGTCAAGTGGTCGATGTTGTTGACACGACCAAGTTGGACCCGAGCGAGCTGCAGGGTATCATTCCTCGCATCAGTGCTGATCTGTTTAAGGGATTGCGCGAGATGCGGGAAAAGGACCCGTCCCACTCATATCGTGTGGAAGTGGTCTACTATGAAATCTACAACGAGAAGGTATATGACCTCATTCGCCCACAGAGGGATGCCGACCTGAAGATACGTCATCAACCCCTCAGCGGCCCTTACGTGGAGGGGCTCGCCACAAAGATGGTTGCCAACGAAGAACAGGTCGCCAAGGTGATCCGTAAAGGTAGCATTGAGCGCCATACTGCAGCGACAAAGATCAATGACCGAAGCAGCCGCAGTCATGCTATAATTACCTTCAATATTCTACAGCTGTACCTTGATGACAATGACAACACATGTAAGAAGCAGAGCAAACTGAACCTTGTAGATCTTGCGGGTTCAGAGCGGACTGGTGCTGTTGGTGCGGAGGGGAAGCAGTTCCTTGAGGGCACTAAGATCAATCTCTCCCTTACAACACTGGGTCGTGTCATTGACTGCTTGGCCGATTTATCGCAGTCCAAGTCGCTTGCTGTACCTGTCCCGTACCGTGACTCCAACCTCACATGGTTGCTGATGGATTCACTGGGCGGTAACAGTAAAACTTCCATGGTAGCCACTATTTCGCCCCACTGTGTAAACTTTGATGAAATGCGGCAGACCATCCGTTACGCCTCGCGTGCTAGACAGATTGTTAACAAGGCAGTCATCAACGAGGACCCACAGGTGCGCCAAATTCGTGCCCTGACAGGTGAAGTGGATCGCCTCAAGAAAATCATCCGTGAGGCGGGGCATAACGAGTTTACTCGTGACTATGTGCTGGAGCTGCAACGCCGCAACGCCTATCTTGAGAAACGTTGCCAGGAGCAGGAGATAACCATTGCAGAGCTCCGGGCACTGCTTGAAGAGAATGGCATAGCCGTCCATACAGATGATCTCGCCTCAGCATCGGTGAAGCGTGCACGTGGTGCGCAGCAGGATGTGAGTTCGGGCCGCCGTCGTGGTACAAACGGGGTGGAAAGCAATGCGTCGGTTCTCAAGACGCGCCTGGCTGACGCAAAGACGGAAGTGGAAGCGTTGCGGCGCCAACTTGCAGAAGAGGATGGTAATGGTGTGATCAAGCGAGCTGGGACCCCCACAAAGACCCCACAGGTGACTGAACTCAACAGTGAAATTAAGCGACTTAAGAAGGAACTGGAGGCTCTGAAAAAAAATGATGCGAAGAAGCAGCGGCAGATTGAGCGTTTCTCCTTCTTCTATATGGATTGGGCGGCCGATATGATGCGGAATACAATGCTACTAAAGGAGGACGAGTTTTCCAGATGTGTGGCTCATCTTGCTATTGCGCAACACAACCAGGTCGGTCTTGGCCTTCGCCACGTCCAGCAGGCCCACCGCGAGGAGATTGAGAAGATGCGGAAGCGGCATGTGGAAGAAATGGAGGATCTGCAGAAGATATCAACCGCTCGGCTTAAAGAATCCATTGAGAAGAGTAATGAGCTCTATCAGCAGCTCATTGACAAGCATGTAGAGAAGCTGAACTATGTCGAAGAACGCATGAAGAAAAATAAGGAGTTCTACGAGTCTGAGCACAAGCGGATGGAGGCTGAGAAGGAGAACAGCCGTAAGAGCTACGAGGAGCAGCTGGCAAAGACGCGTTCCAGCTACCAAGATGAGCTGAAAAGGCTGCGTGAGCAGCTCAACTTTGGCGCCACAGACCGTCAGCGCTCGGGTGAAGCGTTAAAGCGCATGCAGGAGGATCACGAGAAGGAGGTTAACCGACGACAAGATGAGATGGACCGTTACCGCCGCGACAAGGAGCAGGAAATCTCGCGGCTGAAGCAGCAAATCGAGAAGGAAACGCTGCGACGGGATAGTGATGTACTCGAGAAGGACCGTCAGCGTCGTCTCTTGGAGAAGGAAGTGGGTGAGATGCGGCGCGAGATGCTTAAGCTGCAGACAGAGCAGCACCGCATGGAGCAGCAGCACCGCACCGAGGTCCAGAACCTCACGCAACAGCAGGAGAAGCTCCTTTCCGTTGGAAACGGGCTGCTCTCCGACTGGGACAACCGCTCCAGCGCATTGGACTCCTCTTTTGCGCAGCTGCGCGCTCTGTTGCACAGCCAAGACTACATGGACTTCCGCACCCGCCTCCGCGACGCCACCATTGAGCGGAAGGACTACACCGCGGAGCTGGAGGCGGTGGAGGAACGCAAGCGGCGTGACACTCAGCGCCTGCGTGAAATTGTGCAGCAGTTGAAACAGAACCAGGAGGATAGCAAGGCCAGCCTCCAGCGCTTCGAGGAAGACGTGATGAAACACCTCGCGTCTGCAAGCAAGACACGCAGTGGCAATAGTAAGAGCACCAGCAGTAAGAATACTCTTAGTACAAACGGCCGAGGTGTGGAATCGTCGAATGGCTCTTATTCTGCGCAAAAGCGGACCTCCCCTCCGGGAGCGACAAAGTCCTCCGTGGTGGCACCACCATCAGCAGGAGGTGCTGCGTCGTAAGCGCCGTAGATATAATAGGGGTGGCATCTGCATGCAGTTTTTTTTTTTTTGTTCTACGTGAGGTGCAGCTGCACACTCGGCGCTGGGCAAAGAAAACGCAAAAAAAAAATAGGGGCATAAAAGCAGGGAGGAAGAGAAGAACTGGAAGTGAGAAGCCAAGAGGGCTAGACAACATGCGTAGACAGATATGGCATCGGAGGGGGCAGCGGCAGTAGATGTCTTTATGTGTTTGGACCTACATTGGTTTGCTATTTGCTTTCTCAGGACGATTTGGGTGTGTATGAGTTTTTTTTCTGGGTTGGTCCCGGTGTATTGCTCGGTGTGGTTGTGTCCCTTCTTTCTTTCTTTCTCTTCTCCCAGTTTTCCTCTTGACGTTTGTCTGTCTTCGTTGATATTCGAACCCTCAGGGTCGCTTGTTTTTTGTTGTTGTTGTTGTTGTTTTTTTTTGCGTCCGGGTCGGAGTGCGGCGAGGGAAGAAACATGGGGGCGGCGGCGTCGCCCTCGCGTGCGGGGAGCGTGTGAGGCAGGCGTGCGGAAGGGGAAAGCAACGAAAAAAGAAAGGGAGGGGGATCGTTTCTTGTGTTTTAAGTTGAGGCCCCCTCGGCCTCGCCTTTTTGCCCCTCTCTCTCTCCTGCTGCTGCTGCTACTGCTGCATACATGTTCCACTCAGGGTCGTGTGACGGTGTGTGGTGACTCCTCTTCCGGTATTTATTGTGTGTGAGTCTGTGTGTCCGTCAGCCGCACGCATCGAAGGAAATGATGAAAGGAAATAGTGTGGGCATAAAGAGCGGTGGATGAGTGAATCTGTATGGAGTGCTTTGGTGTCTTCGCACTAAATTTCTCCAGTCACTCCTGAAAGAGAACAAAAAAAAAAAAAATAGCAACATCCTTTTGTTTTCCTTTTTGTGTACTCCCTCGTTCATCATCGTCATTTCCTTTCCCTCCATGCACCACCCCAAAGCCACACACAGCGCTGCTCCTGCTCCTGCTCGTTGTTGTTGTTGTTGTCGTCGTGGCGGTGGTGAGCCAGATGGGGAAGAAGCGGACGCAACACGGCAGCGGTTGGAACTCCGAGTGGAGCTTAAAAAGTAAAAAGCAAAAAAAAAAGAAAAAGAGAAGACGGTGGAGGAGGAGCATCGTTGTGTCTCGGGCTCTTGAGGGAGTTGATAAGAAGGGAAGGACGAAAGGAAGGCGTGAAAGAGAGTTGATTAAAACGAAAGAAATGGGTATACAAGTCTTTTCTTTATTGCAGGCTTGGTGTGAATCAAACGAAGTGAAGAAAAAAATGAAAATGAAACAAAGAAAATTTTCTCACGAGTTTATTCTTTTCGCCATTCCCTTTGTGGATTGTCTCACCGTCAGATTCTCTGGTGCGTCTACCACGGCGGCCGAAGGAGCGAGTGGGACGGTGACGTGAGGCTCGCGCCTCTTTTCCCCCGCGCTCCCGTCGCAGCTGCTGATGTTTGGTGGCCGCTCCTCGCCCCAGCAGAGTCATTCGTCGACCACCTGCTTCCGTCGCTGGGTGTACATACGCACGCAAACTGCCGTCAATATGTGCGCGAGCAGTCTGCTGGATGAGCACAACGAAGGAAAGAAAAAGAAAAGGGGGGAAACGACACAAAAGAGAGACCTGTATGTGTGTGCAAGAGTGTGAATCCCCGAAGTATTCAGGGGTGGGTGTAAGCGACCAGCAACAATGCCCAGAGAGTAAGAGAAACTATGAGAGAGAGTGTGTGGTACACACCTTTACTTGGTCTCCTCTTCTTGTGCTGGAGTCGCTCACTCTTCCCCGTTGTTGTTTTTTTGTTGTTGTTTTCTACAATAATCTTCACGCCTGTACATCTCTCGTAGTCGTTCAGCTGGAAAGCTGATACTCTCCACTTTTTTTTTCTTTCCTTTGGTCTCCTACGAGCATTTCTTCTCGGTGGCCGTAGAAATTATATAT